CTGGACCAAAGGATGTACATTGGTACAGATAGCAACCCGAAACACAGGGAATACAGTATAGATGACTCCTTCAGTACCAGTGGTGAGAGGGGCGATGCCTGGAGGGTGAAGGGAATGTGGGGTAGAAAGAGGGAACCAATTACAAGAATCTAGGTATGGCCTCCTCCCTGGGGGATGGACAGCAGAGAAGAGGGCAGAGGGAAACATCGAACAGGGTAACTTATGACAAAACTATAATAATTTATGAACTATGAGGGAGGGGGAGGGGGAGAGGAAAATGAGCAACTGATATTAGGGGCTAGAGTGGGAGGCAGATGTCTTGAGAATGATGAGGGCAACAAATGTGCATATGTGCTTGACACGATGTATTTATGGATTGTGATGAGAATGGTACGAGCCCCCAATAAAATAAATTTTTTTAAAAATTTCCTCTCTGAGTGCTGCTTTTTCTGAACTTCAGTTTAACTAAGCTGCTGTGCTTTTATTTTCATTTGTATTTTCTGACTTCCCTTTTGTTCTCTTTGATCTTTTGGTTGTTTAATATTATGTCTATTTCCACATAATTGTGTGATTTCCAGTTAACTTTCTGTTACTGATTTCTCATTTCATTCTTTTATTGTTGGAGAAGGTCCTTTTTTTAAATTGTCTTTTAATTTTATCTTCTGTTTATGACCTAGCCAATAGTCTATGTGATCTATGTGGACTGAAAGAGAGTATTATGTTATCATGGCTGAGCGTGTTCTATATATAGACTGTTGAGTTGGTTTATAGTGTTCAAATCTTCTCTTTTATTAGTGCTCTTGCTTGATGTTTTACTCATTATTGAAAGAGTGCACTTAGATATTTTTGGCTGTAATTTTAATGGAGCAGTTCACCTGGTTCATAGCAAATTGAAAGAATGCATCATCTTTATAAGTGAAATAATAATGGGAATAACATTGAAAGACTGCTAATAAATACATGTTTTTCTTACTGAGGAAAATATTTAAAATAGGATCTTTTCCTTTACTATCTGAAATCACTTAGGACTGGCAAATCAAAATATAATGATTAAAAAAACAGGTTATGAAGGGTTCATGGGGGAGCAGGGAGGGAGGGGGAAAATAAGCTGATACCAAGGGCTCAAGTAGAAAGCAAATGTTTTGAGAATGATAAGGGCAACAAATGTACAGATGTGCTTGACACAATGGATGGATGTATGGATTGTGATAAGAGTTGTATGAGCCCCCAATAAAATGATTTTTTTTAAAGGAAAGGTAAACGACATGCAATGGTCCACAGAACTTGCTGCCATCTAGTTGATTCTGACTCATGACAACCCCATGTAGGGTTTCTGAAGCTGTAAGCCTTCAAGGGGACAGATAGCATCATCTTCTCTTTCACAGAGCTACGGACAGCTTTGAACTGCTGGCCTTGCAAGTTAGCAGTCCAGTGCTTACACAGCAGTGCCACCAGGGCTCCTAAAATGCAATGGTAGCTTATCTTTAATTCATTTATCTTCTAGAAACATTTAGTTATTTTCCTAAAAGGCATAAATGTATTTGTCTCTTGAAAGTCAATAAATATCAGATTTTTTTAAGGTTTAAAAAAAAACAGGTTTATGATCACAGGCATCTGAGAATTTATTCATTTTTACTAGATGGTTTTCTAATTTGAGGACCTAAACATATTTAGATTAAACACATTGCATATACCTTTTGGATGAGTGATTTGTATGTTTGTTTAGATAGTTAAAACCATAATATTTGTATTTGTATTACTGTGTTATTTGAACTAACTCATTCTTAAAGGTCTATCACATGGATTCTATGAGAAATATGTTATTAACTCCATTTATTTTGCTCCAAGTGTCACTGATAGGAATGGTAGATTAGCAACTTGACTGTGTTCTCCAAATGAGTTGTGAAAATTACAACTTTTAAGTTAGATAACTTGAAGTTAGGACTTGCATTTATTTTCCCTTTGTTGATTTTTAAGTGTTCAGTGTGACTAACCGGTCAATGGAAGAATATTAGTGAAATCTAAGAAAAAAATGCTTGGAATCTTAAAAGTAAAGGAAGGTCTAAAATAATTTAAATAAAATAGCAAGACATTCAGAAAAATTCTACTTCCGTTATATATTATATTCACAAAAAAGCAAAACCTTTCTTTTTTTTGAATTTTAATAATTGGCATTTAAAGAAGTAAGAATATGCCCTGCCTTTTAAAAGAACTATTTCAAGGTAACCAAATAGGCCCACTTAATAAGGGAAATCTTGATTTTCATTAGAATACCATCATTTTACAAGCCATCGTCAACCCTATTAAAATGATTGGCTTAAGGAGGAAGCTAGATATTTATGTGATGCCAGAATGGTAGCATCATTGGCCACAATGAAAAAACATAATTGTATAGTGAAGGAATCAGAATCATGACCCTAATCCAGAAGTTGCCCTTAGCATCTTGTTAGGGAGTCAACAAAAATTGGGTATTCAATTATGCTACAGTTTAAGTATTTAGAATCATTTCTCGAACATTCTCACACACACAAAAAATGTATAGCTCAAATCTGTCAGATCTTTTGGTACAACTTCTGGCTTTGGAGAAGTACAAGGAATATACCATATTTAGTAAAGGAGCTGTGATGATGTAGTGGTTATGTGTGTTGGGCTGTGATGTGGGTGGTCAGCAGTTTGAAACCACCAGCAATTCCACGGGAGAAAGACTGGGCTTTCTACTCCCATGAACAGTGACAGCCTCAGGTCAGTATGAGTCAGCTTTGGCTTGATGCCATTGAGTTTTGTTGTTTTTTAGTAGAGGAATATACTAAATGTCAGCATAAGTACATAACCACACATGGAGAAAAAGAGCTGTCTGCAACAAGAGGACTATGCTAGATTTAAAAATTTGAAGTAATAAAATGTATAGTTTGGGCATGAATACTGATTTGAGCCAGTTAGGACAATCTAAATATGTTGAAGTATTGCTAAGAACACTTACTGAGATTGGAAAAGAGAATAGAAAAGTACAGGTTATTTAATAATCTGTATTACATGGTCTCGTTTTTGGGAAAAACAAAAGTATGCAGGGTGTATAAAAAAGATCTAGAAAGATATACCATATATATTCATGTATAAGCCAAGGTTTTTCAGCACTTTTTTAATGCACTTTTTGTGGTAAAATTAGGTGCCTCGGCTGATATTCAGGTCGGTTTATACTCAAATATATACAGTATATACATGATGGAATAGAATGTGATTTGTTTTTGTTATGCCTATATTTTACATACTGCTTCTGTAATCAGAATATTTAAAATAGCACAATAAGTTTATGTATAATTCAGGTTTCTAAGGTTTCATAATTTTGTGAGTGTCTGTAATGCATGCAGCATTTAAACTTAAAGTTGCTATACAACTGTGCTCTATTCCTTTATTTCTTAGATAGAGAGCCTGGATTTTTTGTTTCTGTTAAAGACAATGGAGGAATTCTATAAAAGTGAAGATGAGGAAAACCTGGAAATCTTCTGTCCAGTTCAAGGTCAAGCCTGTGTAGCTAAGTTTGAAGATGGCATTTGGTACCGAGCAAAAGTCATTGGTAGGAAAGTGTACACTGTTTCTACAGGGAAATGCTTACAGATTTTTATCCTATCCTTTGAGTTGGTATAAATTAAACCTTAGAAGTAGTGCTAACTGATTTTAGCTTTCTGCTCTGTCATCTTATCTTTGGAAAGTTGGAGGTAATGTTGGGAGATAAGGTGTGGCTCATCACTACTAACTTAATAGTAATAACTAATAATCTCGTATAGCTAGTAGATAGTACAAAGCAGCAGAAGTTAGTAAGAAATTAATAACTAACTACATGTCTGTCCCATGCTGTTTGGTTTGTCAAGGGTCAAGCTGAAGATACAGTCTCTTGTGTACTCTCAGCTTTCCTTTAGAATTAATATAGTCCACTTTCTCGGTGATTAATTACTAACATGTTAATTATTACCTCAGTACCTTTCTTTGCATTTTGTATACCCTATTTAATTTTATTCAATTTAAAAAATAATGGCATCAAAAAATAATAGTAATTGTATCATGGGCAAAGACAGGGAGTGAAATTGGAGACTTTAAGGCTTCTAAATGTTAAAAGTAGCATTTCAGGAGATTTTAAGAGGAATGTAGGGCACTGAAAGTAAAAGACATGCAAGACTTGCCTTTGCTTCCTCTAATATCTATGGTCCCTTGTTTGGATCACTCATAAATTGTTTGTTTTCTTTGTATAAAATTAAATAGTAAAAACAATAAGAAAAAGTTAAGTGATGAAAGGCTTACACACAAACAAACAGTGATGAAAGGCTTATACACAATCACATAGTCCCCCGCTTTGCTCTATCTCCCTTTTCCTTCCTCAAAAGCAATTGTTTTCCATTCTTTTAGCCTGCATTGCACACCTATTTCATTTCTTCTGGAAGAAAGACAGGATTTCTACTCCCAGAAAGAGTTACAGACTGGGAAAGAAACCCACAGGGAAGCTCTGCCCTGCCTTACAGAGTCCCTATGAGTTTGAATCAAAGGTAGCAGTGAGTTTGTAGGGTTTATTATGTCTTCTAAATAATATGTATTACTCGAATTGGTACTTTAATTTTAGATATCAACTATTGACTTAATTATTATAAATAACAATTTTAGATCCCATAAAGCCCTTATGTCCGCCCCTCCCCCTCTCACCTTATAGTTGATTAGCAATTTTAACTAAATCGTTAGTCTATTTAAATATTTTCCCTGCTAAGATAAAGTATACTTGTGTAATTCTCTTATGAGTTAATGATCATTTCAGTATCATATATTTCATTTTCTTTTAATTTATGGCTGCATTTTTCTATTCAAAACCATTTTCTACATGACTAGACTTTTCACATAACTTAGTTCTAATTTTAACTTTTTTCAACCTGAAAATACCATTCTATCTTTTTCAACTGGATTGTTTTCCTGCTAGGGAAAACATTGGTTATCCTGCAAATTTATTTCACTTGGCAATATACTTCATTGTTCCCCAATGTTAGATATCTTAATTTCCTGAATCCTATATTTAACCCCTTCAGTTTACTCCTGCAATTTGATGGAGTCATTTTTCAGTAGTTCTCCCAAAGGGAAGGAGGGAGGCAAAGCAAGAGAGTTAGTTGGGGGTTAAGGGGTGTAATAAAATACATGTAACTAAAATTTCACCATTTTAATGCTACTTAAGTATACTATACAATATTAAGTATACAATCCATTCACCATGATGGGCAATAGTCACCAATATCTATTTCCAAAAGTTTCTCATCACCTCCCAAAATAAATTCAGTGCTCCTTAAGCATATAACCTCCCCCCTTATAAGCAATAATTCTCCATTTCCTCCTCCCCCAAGTTCTTGCACTAATAATAAACCTTAGTTTCTATGCACTTCCCTATTTCAGATATTTCACATCAGTGGGATTATACAGCTTTTTTGTGTCTTTTTAATTACTTAGCATAATGTTTTTAAAGTTCATCCTGTCTTAGCTATGGATGTTTTCTTAGCTTATCCATTTCTTTATATTGGTGAATAATATTATATTGTATAGATATAGCACATTTGTCTATTCTGTTTTTGTGAACCTTGGGTTTTTTCCACCGTTTGACTACTATAAATAATGCTACAATGAACACTGGTGTCAAGTGTCTGTGTTAGTTTGTCTTTTCAAGTTTTTAGGGCATATACATGGGGGTAGATTGTTGGATCATACAGTAATTCCATGTTTAATTTTATTGCTGCTGCTGTTGCTGCTATTGAGAATACACACAGCAAAGCATACACTAATTCATCAATTTCGACATGTGTATGGTTCAGTGACATTGATTATATTCTTCAAGTTGTACAACTGTTCTCACTCCGCCCCCTTTCTGAGTTAGTTGTTCCTTCTCCATTAACATAGATTTACTGCCAGCTAAGGTTCCTGTCTACAGTCCTGGTGGTGGAGTGAGTTAATAAGCATTGGTCTGTTAACCACCAGTTCAGAAGTTTGAAAACACTAACCGTTCTACAGGAGAAAGATAAGACTTTCTATTCCAATAAAGATGTACAGTAGCATAAACCCACAAATCTCGTAAACCCACACAGAGACAGTTCTACCCTGTCCTATCAGGTTGCTAAGTCAGAATCTACTCACTGGATGAAATGAGAAGCTTCCCAGCTTCTTAAAAGAGCACAGTTTTCAAGGCAGACATTTACTAATTAAGCTAAATTATTTGGGGGTTTTAAGATGATGTCGGGTATTTTTTGTATAAGGTTTGAAGCTTATCTCAGGCCAAATTGTTTTGGGTTCCTTCAGCCTCCATGGCTGTAGCAAATCTGGATTCCATGAAAATGTGAAGTTCTGATCAGTGTGTTCCCCTTTTTGACCACAGTTGTTCTATGGATTCTTTGATCAAAATTTCATTCTTGGTATCACCATCTAGTTCCTCCACTCTCATGGCCAGAGGTATGATGGTAATTATTAACAAGGTAATGATGATAGTTACATAGCCTTTCTCCGTTCCTCCAGAGGAATAGAGATCAGTAGCTGTGCCTTGGTCACTTGCAAGCTTCTAAGACCATGGGCCACTACAGTTGGAGATAGAATAGAAGCACTAAACAAATGAAGCTAATCAACTTGTATTTCTCTTGTAACCACGAACCTAATCCAGTTTTAACTCTGAGGGACCACAGAACTGTTATCCATAGAAACTGCACTGTTTTGTGTTCTTTTTAACAATACATGAGCAATGATGATTTATCTACATCCTAGTGGCTGTGAAATGATAACTTGTTTTTATATGATTTGCATTTCCCAAATGAGAAATGAAGACACCTGTATGACACAATGTTAAGTGCTCAGCTGCTAACCATAAAGTTAACAGTTCAAATTCACCCAGGTTCTTTGCAAGATAAAGACCTTTCGATATGCTCATGCAGATACAGCCTTAAAAAAAAACATTATGAGGAAGTAGTATTTTGTCATATGGGGTTACTATGGGTCAAAAATCAACTCTGCAAAACCGAACAGCAAGCATGAGTAATGAATCATGTGGAGCATCTTTTCATGTCTTTGTTGGCCATTTGTGTATCTTCCCCATCTCCCCCCTCCATTTTTAAATTGTTTTGTTGATGAATTGTAGTTGTTCTGGATGTTAAACTCTTGTCATGTATGATGGAGTTTAAAAAAGTTCATGGAAAAATTCTATTCTCTTTTCATTTCCATTTTCCCCACAAACTTTTTGAAGTCTCTTTGTATATTGGTCCCAAGTATTTTTTCCAATTTTTAAGTTATCTCTTTAATTTGTTGATAAAATTATTTATTACACAAAAATATTTAATTCTGATTAAATAGAATCTGCATTTTTCTTTTGTTGCTCAGACTTTGGGTGCCATATCTATGATCCATTGCCAAAACCACGATCTTAAGCTTGCATTTTTTATGGTGTTAGTGCTTATATGAGGGGGCTTGAAAATGTTTGGGGAAAAATGAAATTAAAAGATACTGGAATTTTCCCAAACCTTGTTGAAGTCCCCTTGTTTTTAGATTTTAATCCATCTAATAAGTTATTTTTTACATATAGTGTGAGATAGGGTTCAATCCAGTTGAGATTGCTCTTTCCCCATTAAATAGATTGAGCACCCTTTAAAAGTCGACTTTCCAGAGATGTCTAGGTTTATTTCTGGACTCTCAATTCTATTCCAGTGGTCTATATATACATATCCTTTCACCCATACCATTTTGTTTTTATATCTGTGTATTTATTTTAAGTTTGTTAATCTGAAATTGTGAATTTGCCTAGTGTATGCTTCTTTTTCAATGGGAGGTGAATTTTAAGACTTTCCATGTCTACTGACCCTATCTTCCTCCTTGAGAAGCAATTTGAGTTAATATTGCACTTTCAGTTTTGTCCAGCACCCATTTCCTTGTTTGTCTGTGTATTTGTTTTCTTAAAACTCTTATCTTCATCCAAGGACTTGAACAAGTTTAAAACTAGTGGCATTGGTACAGTTGAGAATAACTGTTAAGCTTAGGGATTCCAGTGGACATGTGGAGAGGTTCCCTGGCCTTCTAGCCTTAAACCCATAGTAACACATGGTTTCTCAATTATTCCATACACGTATTGCCATTAGAGGAGAAGAAGACCCAAGTTGAAGCTTCATCTTGAGTGTCAGTGCTGTTCTATCTGGTTTCACAATTGCCAGATAATTGAGAATGCCTGCACCCCCTCCCCCACCTACACACACACACACACACACACACACACACTTTCTCTCTCTCTCTCAAATTATGCCTATTGTCTTCCTCTTTTAAAATGAAAATGATGGCAAGTGCCAAGAAAGGCTTATATCAACTATATGTTTCAGGTATTACTAAAAGGATCAGTGTGTGATAGTGCTTTATTCAGATTTCCATGTATCTGAACGTGCCAGTCTATCTCTGGTATCCTTTAAATGATACAGAATATATTCACATAGAGGTATGACTGCTTGTTTTCTGTGGTATCACAAAAATAATAACATTCAGACATTTCACCGCTGGATATTGTTAATGACTCCAGTTTGATTATAATTATTGATAGCTTGCCTTGCTTGATTACTTCTGTTGACTAACAGTAGACATTTTTAAGTGTTTACTCTGTGCCAAATGTTTTGAAACATCTTTTTAATAAGTTAATCTTCAAAAAAGTATTATGACCCCAACAAAATGATCTTTTGATTAGAAAAAAACTATTATAGGATTAGAGTCTTAGCATTATTTTTATACCTTTTGTTACAAAGGAAATAATGAGACTTAAAAACTGTAACTTGTTCAGGTGCTAAATCTTAGACTAATTAGCTTGCTTAGGATCTCATAGCATTTAAGTGACTGAACTGGGTTTCTAATCCAGTCTGTCTGAATTTAAGCCTAATTCTTAAACTTTTAAGTCATAGCATCTGTCATTTGATAGCTCTTTTCTTTTTCTGATTTTGGTTAACCTTCAGATAATCTAATTGAGATAGTTTAATTGTTAGTTTTCATTCTGTGAAGTCTGAATAGGGGGTGATTTTTTTAAATTTACATGTTAGAAATGCTTTCCACATTAAGGGATTAAGTTTATATAATTACCATTAAAATATTTAATCTAACTATAGTTAAGTCTATTTTTTGCTACATCATTCTCTGCATCATTCCCAAGTTTGCAGTTTCTAACTTCATGATTTTTTCAGGGTTACCTGGACATCGGGAAGTTGAAGTTAAATATGTTGACTTTGGAAATACTGCAAAAGTAACACTTAAAGATATGCGTAAAATAAAGGATGAGTTTCTGAGTCCCCCAGAGAAGGTAATGCACTTCTTAAAAGTTCTAGACTAGAATGTTACAAAGATAAGGAACTGTTTGATCATAAAAATATTCTGGTTTTATCAGTCAATGACATGCTGTAGTTGCTCTTTAAGAAATAATGCCATGCATCAAAGAACAAAAAATCTTATAATTGTGAATGAGGGGGAGTGTGGGGTGGGGACCCAAAGCCCATCTGTAGGCAACCAGACATCCCCTTACAGTCCGGGTGCAGTGTAGCAACAATGAAACATACAACTTTGCCCTAGTTCCTAAATGCTTCCTCCCCATCCACTATCATGATCCCAGTTCTACTTTACAAATCTGGCTAGACCAGAAGGTGTACACTGGTACAGATGGAACTGAAAATACAGGGAATCCA